CCTTCTGTTCTCACTTTATTTGCTCCCACTGGGGTCCATCCTGAGGAAACATGGTCTTTCATTCCATTGCTATGCTGATGACTGCCAGATCTACCTGCCTGTGAAACCAGCAAGTGTTTGCTCCATTCACCCTCTGTTAAAATGTCTGGACAACATTAAGGCCTGGATGGCTTCAAATTTCTTAAGTTTTAACAATGACAAAACTGAAGTCATTGTTTTTAGCCCTAGCTCAACTGCCACCACTGATCCTGTCAACCTGGACTCTCTTCAGCCATATTTGAAGCAGTCTGGTAAAAATCTCGGGATGGTTTTACCATACCACTTTATTTATAAAGCACTTAAAACAGCAACAAGGCCAACCGAAGTGCTGTACAGACAAAACAATTTGTCACGACCCGATTGGACTATTGCAACGCACTGTATGCTGGGATCAGCCAGGCCTCCATCTCACGTCTTCAGCTCATCCAGAATGCTGCTGCTCGGCTTTTAACTGGAACTCGTAGGTCTGAGCATATTACACCAGTTTTGTCCTCCCTTCACTGGCTCCCTGTTCATACGAGGATTGTTTTTAAAATTCTTCTGCTGACCTTCAAGTGCTTAAATGGCCTTGCACCCCTTTACCTCTCTGAGCTTCTGGAACCTTACGTTCCCTCTCGGGCCCTGAGATCATCCTATCAGCTGCTTTTGGCTGTTCCAAAAACAAGACTGAAGCTCAGAGGAGATCGGGCTTTTTCAGTCATGGGCCCCAAACTCTGGAACAACCTGCCCCCCAACATCAGGCAGGCCACCTCCATTCCTCACTTCAAATCTTTGCTTAAAACACATTTGTTCTCTCAGACATTTCATACAGTGTAAATTGATCTAGTGTTTTTTAATCTGTGATCCTATGTTTTAAATGCTTTTTATTAATTCTTCAGTTATTATTATTAGTGTTTTGTATATGTATGTTTATATATTTTTCTCTTTAATTTGCTCATTGATTGTTGTTGTTGTTAAGCACTTTGATAACAGGTCCTGTTTTAAATGTGCTCTACAAATAAAGTTGACTTGACTTGACTTGATATGACATAAAATTCATATCCCTGCGATATCTACCGGTAGCATATTGTGATGAGAAGTTACACAAAGCTACACGCTAACTACGGCCAGCTAGCTTTTCTACTATTTATCTCTCGAAGAAAACAGACTTTCACCATTTATGCAGTGTTCAACTCAAAAAACGTAACAGTAAATATCGCTTTTTACTTACTTCCACAGATAAATTTTAGCTCAAGGAGATGACGCGCTGCAGTGGAGAGGACCCGGGTAGACCGGCGGAGCTCCATCTAGCTCGCTCTGAATTTTGTCGTCGGCCAGCAAGCACAAAAACAATGCCAGCACTTCAGCATTAGACCACAGTGTTGTCATTATTGTTTTTAAAATCTTTAAAATAGATCCAGGCACTACTCCAGTCCAAGAAATTGCAAATGGTGGATCAGTGTTTTGAAAAGTTTCTGAAAGATCCAGTGACTCCTACCCCTGACCAATCAGTGACCGACAGTGCACTGACATCACATTTAGGTCCAACAAGAACCAGACCTGTGACCCCAGAGAAGCAAGTCCCAAAAACCGAGTGATTCCCCCACTGGAGGCACTGTGGATAAACCACAGAACTGGCCCTAATAGGACTTGTGGATAAGAGGCTATAGAGGCTTGGGCCGGCACTGGTCTAGAGTTTCAGATTTTTTTGCAAGATATTCCAAGAAACAATTTTGGTCAGTCTTCCAGTCGTGTGTGTGTGTGTGTGTGTGTGTGTGTGTGTGTGTGTGTGCGTGCGTGCGTGCGTGCGTGCGTGCGTGCGTGCGTGCGTGTGTGTGTGTACAAAAGAAGCTGTTTGCCTGATGTGTATTGTTGCTTTTTATATTCAATTCAATTCAGTTTATTTATATAGCGCCAAATCACAACAAAGTTCTCTCAGAGCACTTTACAGAAACATTCACAAACATAAAAGCCAATTAGTAAAGTTCTCTATCTAAGGAATCCAGCAGACAAGATGAATCTTGGCTTCGTTGCAGTCTCGCATCCTGAGCAAGCACAGTGGCAACAGTGGAAAGAAAAACTCCCTTTTAACAGGAAGAAACCTCCAGGAGAACCAGGCTCAGGACAAGCGGCCATCTTCTTTGACCGGCTGGTTGAGATATATTGTGTATAGTCCCACTCATAGAATTTCAAAGCGTTTTCTATAAGTAAAACTTGTAATATCAACAATTGTACTACCTCACAATTTCATTTGTAGTGTAGAAGACTTTGAAACTGAACCAGACTTAAGGTAGATAGAGTTGTACAACTTGCCTGGCAGTATGGCCAGAGGACAAGGAAAAGGAACTGCATGTCAAAACTAAGTTTTCTTGGACCAACAAAAGTTTTTTGACTAACCTTTGGAAAACATTGGCCCTGGTTGGCTCCACTAAAGATTGTACCTAGGACTTTCTGCGTGTTAAACAGATGTGATAAATGCAACATGCAAAAGTATTTTTTCATGTCTTTGGAAGTCTTGCAGCAATCACAGTTTCCTGAATTTTAATCAGTCTTCCATTCGTTGTTCAAAATTTCAAAATTTTCTTTACCAAATTATTTTTCTGTTGTTTTCTATGCTGTTTTTCCTATGGCAGAAGAGAAAAAAACTCCACAAAAGTATTTACTGTTTATTAGTTTTGCCTGATATCTAACTTTATTGTTTGAACAAACACATTTTGTTTATATCAATTTAGTCTAATTAATGAATACATGATATAAATCAGATTTAAGAGAGTTTTACTTCCTTCACAGATTAAACAGTGATAACTTTAATGCTGGTTGGTTGCTGCAACTTGGGGGAGCAGCGCCACCCAGCGTAGCACTGACAGGTGAAGTTCTCAGCCCAGGCTTTCAGATCACTGGCGGACGGCAGACCGACAGCTACGTACTTCCCACCAGCCCGAAGAATGTGGAAGTAGATGGGGTTCAGGTGTAGATAGTTTGAAGAGTTGTAGTTCTTCCTCACACAGCGGCCATTTCCCTGGCATAAGACCTCACTGCAGAGCATGGCAGCAGCCGTCACGTTGGCGATGTAAGGGTTGAAGGTGGAGGTCAGGAACTCAGACAGAGATTGGCAGGTAGCCTGGAGATGAGCAGAGGTTGTGAGGTCAGTGTGTACATCTTGATATTAACAATCTATCATGACATCTTGTTGTTGTGGTCTGTCTTGGTTCCGCATTCGGTTGTGTTGTAACATTAGGTGTGGAGGGCTCTGTAGCAAGACAACAATGCTTCTGTCCTTGAATGGGCTGATTATAGCCACAACACACGTTAGCCATGCCAAAGGATTTCATGCAAAGTTTGCATCTCACTTTTTCCTAGTTAGAATATGAATTTAAAGTTATATATTTTGGGTCATCAATCCAACCTGCTGAAAATTTACAATTGCCTGTAGTAAATTTTAGTTTCCACTTAGAGGTCGTTTACAAGGCATGTATTTTGAGTGAAACCGCACCTCTCTCTCTGCGGTTCTGCTGTTCATTTACACAAACCAGTAGCCTCCCCTCTTTGAATCTGGAGATTTCTCAACCCGTCTCTCAGGGGCCGTTTACACGGCGCATATTTTGAGTGCATCCGCAGCTTTCTCTCTGCGGATCTCCTGATCATTTACATGACACCAGTGGCCCCCCTCTTTGAATCCTGAGGTTTCTGAACCCACCTTCCAGAGTGGAGGTTTTTTGCTGACCCCCCGCTGATAATGTAAACATCTCCCGCTGAGACTTTGTGTTAAACCACATGCGCTCATGCACGCGCGGTCGGACAGACGGCATATTTCTATCAACATGGCGGCGGACACACTGCTTTCTGAACTACGACTGATGAAATATATTTTTAATCTCGTAGTTAATCTACGTCATATTCCAGGTGCTGTGACCAACATCTGTGTTGGAAGAGACAGTCAGATCCAGTTCTAATGTCGTTGTTTATAGAACGAGGCACGCGCACACGTCGCGCTGCACTATAACATACTAGATGTGCTAAATAATAAGTTTAATAATAATAAACAGTATTTATGTTAGTGTGAGAGATATAATGAAGCTCTGAGCTAAATGAAGCTAACTGGACATTATGTAATTCAAATTTTAAATCATGCTAAACATATTGTGTGTTACTAAAGTTGAAAATGAAGACATCAGGTTTAATTTTTTATTTATTTATTCAACACCACAAACTGTATGTCACACAAACACTGATAATTAAACTGAACACACTATTAAAAACACGTTAACTGTAAACTGCATTAATGAACTGGACTCTTCTCTGTTTTCATCCTGGATGTCCCACGTTGTCCATCTGGCTCGTTCAGGAAGTCACTCCTTTGATTAATGCAGCTTAAAACATTGAATGGAATGAATAAAAGAACTGAGGAGAATTTGAAATAAATAGTTCATCCAACATCTCTCTCTTCGACGTCCTCCTGCACTGCACCTGGGCCGAGCCTCATTCAGAACCGGTCCGCCTGGTGGAAGGACAGCTTCTTCTTCTTTCAGGAAAAATAAAAACTCGGTTGGTTGTTGTGTGATCGAAAACACAAGCAAACATTATTAAGAACGTTGATTTACCTGCTGTAAATCAGCTACTGATTATTACGGAGTAAAGTCCGACATCATCGACTCGGTTCTGGTCCACTCAGTGACCGGTGTTGAGCTGTTAGATGAAGCGGTCCCGCTTGGCGTCAAATCTGTCGACTCTTATCCAAAATCCAGCTTTAACTTGTTATTAAGTTGTTAGCTGAGCTTTTAGTCCGGAGGAAAGGAGCGGGCCAAGGCAGCACGCATGCGCATTAGGTAAAGGTACAAAATTCACAGCGTCATCTAATGACCTGACATGGTGACTACAGCTGATTCGGGAGGGCGGATTCCTCCGAATGCATGTAAACACAAAATTTGTCCGTGTCAACGCGGATCTTTTCCTCTAATTAACATCCGAAAAAACCTGTTTCCCCCCATCGTGTCCGTGTACATAGGGCCTCAGAGTGGAGGTTTTTGGGAGGCCTCCTGCTGATAATATAAACATCTTCCGCAGAGGTGTTAAAACACATGCACACAACAAGCGTATATTTCACACACACGCGTGGACCAACGGCATATTTCTATCAACAACAATGGCGGCAGAGTATAACATACTGCTTTCTGTGCTACAACTGATGAAATATATTTTGAGTCCCGTAATAATCTATGCCAGAATGTAGGTGCTGTGACCAACATCTGTGTTGGGAAGAGACGCCAGTCGGATCCAGTTTAAAATTGCTGAACGAGCCTGTTGAGGCAGGCATATATTTCATGTGTCGCGCTGGACTATAACATAATATAACATAATAATAAATGTGCTAAATAATAACAATTTAACAATAATCAACAGTATTTATGTTAGTGGTGGGAGATGTAATGAAGCTATCTGAGCTAAATTAAGCTATCTGGACTTTATGTAGTTTTGTGATTTAAACGATACAAAAGGTGTTGCGTGTTAATAAAGTTGAAAATGAAGACATCAGGTTTACTTTTTCTTTATTTATTCAACACTACAAACTGTATGTCTTACAAACGCTGATAATTAAACTGAACACTATTAAAAACACGTTAGCCGAACTGTAAACTACATTAATGAACTGGACTCTTCCTCTCTGTTGCCATCCTGGATACTGGCGATATGTTGTTTATGTGGCTCGTTCAGGCTCTCACTCGTTTGATTAATGCAGCTTAAAACACTGGATGGATTGGAAAAAAGAACCGAGGGGAATTTTAAATAAACAGTTCATCCAACATCTCTTTCTCTTTGACGTCCTCCTGCACTGCACCTGGGCCGAGGTTCTTTCGGCACCTGTCCATCTCTGGTGGGAGGACATCTTATCCTTGCAGGAAAAAATAAAAACAAAAACTCGGTTAGTTGTTGTGTAACCCAAGTAAACACAAGCAAACATTACTAAGAATGTTGATTTACCTGCTGCAAATCGGCTACTGATTATCACGGAGCAGAAAGTCCGACATCATCATCGTCGGTTCTGGTCCACTCAGTTACCAGTGTGGAGCTGTTAGATGAAGGGTTCCCGCTTGGCATCAAATCTGTCGACTCTTATCCAAAATCCAGCTTTGACTTGTTGTTAAGTTCTTGTTAGCTGAGCTTTTAGCCCAGAGGAAAGTCCTTACAGGGAGCGGGCTGAAGCAGCACGTATGCGTATTAGGTGAATGTACAAAATTCACAGTGCCAACTAATGACCCGGCATGGTAACTACAGTGGATTCAGTGGGAGTCCATGTCAACTCAGATGTTTTCCTTGAATTAACATCTGAAAAACACCTATGTTTTCCCCCACCCTGTAAATAGGGCCTAAAACGTTGCAGTGCTGTGTTAGCTTGTAGCACCATTCTAATATCTGCATTTGCAGCCTTTCCAGCTGCTGTTCATGAAGGGGGACAACCAGGGCTTAATTTGTAAACTGATTGATGCCGGAAAAGTGGTGGTGGTGGAGGGTGTGTGTGTGTGTGTGTGTGTGGGGGTGGGGGTGGGGGGGGTCCTTGTGCCTTCTCACAGAAAATTTTGAATAATAGATGCCATTTCCTGCATTTTGGTGTATTTTAACAGGTTGTTATACATCAGCATTTACCTACATTTATATACACTTAATAAAATTACTATTTTGGAGAGGAACAGCTCAGTTGTCCTAACCCCCGTCCTCCCTCCCCTCACTTTATAGTTCTGAGCTGAACTCTTCTCTGCTTCTGCTCCAGTCTTCTGGCACTGTTTGAACAACCTGAAGGCTTCAATTCTCTGTTGTCCAACTAAGGACAATCTATCAATCAATCTGTCTGTCCATCCATCCATTCAGCCATTCATCCATCCATTTTTTATTAAAGTAAATTGGACTGTATCTTTGACATTTTTATCGCTGTTGTTATTTTGACATATTAGCGCCATTGATTTGAAACATTACGTAAAATGTGAATAACGCATCAAACATTTCTCTCTTTGTATATTTAATTTATTTTTTTACAGTAAGCTTTTTAAAAATTTATTATGTCTGAAATGTAGCAGGAGTTCAGACACCTGCTGATTTGTGCGCACGCTGGGTAGAAATTGGAGACATTTCGTGCGTAACGTGTACTGTCCACAGGGAGCTTATTTATTCTGTTGAATAAATGATCATTTCTGTTACGGGGGTCTGAGAGGAGGGAAGGGGGTGTTTTTCAGTGTGCGGCCGCTGAGGAGGGATAATATTTGGAGAGGAGGAGACAAGGACTCACTCTGTGCAGCACCTCTGTGCGTAAATGTGACTATCTGATCTGTCCTCCCCCCTAACCCCCCCCCCCCCCCCCCGCACCCCCAGCCTAGAGGCTCCTCTCCTGCTCCTCGAAGGAGCATGTAGCTCAATAATGAAAACATTATTGTACCCTGTTGCTTTTGGCGGTGGGCAACAATTATTGCTTGTGGTCCTCAAACTTCCAGTTCATTTTTAGAAGTGGCCCAATTGTGTCTAAGGTGGAATAGCCCAGACCAAAGGTCTCCATGCCATTCATTTAACCTTTATTTAGACAGGTAAATCCTATTGAGCCCCAAGGACTCATTTACAAGAGAGACCTAATTTCAACAAAGAATTAAAGCTGCATGCAGCATTGGAGGCCCTCGCAGCAAAGCGCCGCTCCGGCCTTACGGTGACCGCGGGAGCTCCAGCTAGTCCACCCAGTTGCCATTGCAAACGCTCTCGTGCCAATCCCGCATGCATTCCCCACAGAGCGCATTTCGCGAATCTTTGACATCGCCTTCCGTCCATGTCGTTACTTGTCCAGCTGCAGGTCTTACAAGTATAGGCGAAATCTGACCTTCCAGACAGAAGTTATGGATGACTTCCTGTTTTGTGGCGAATGTTTGACAAGCACTTCCTTTATGCTTTTCAACATGTCATGTGTGGTAATCAACAGATAGCAAACAAAGTTTCAGTCTAATATCTTATACAGTGCGAAGTTGGAAGTGTCATCCAATAATCAACAGTTTTTCTCTGAGTAGTTGAGTAGCTTAATTGATGTCATGAATCAACAATATCAATGTGTCTACAAGTGTTCACTGATGAAGCACAAAAACTCAGGTTCAGATTGGATTATGTATCACTGAGATATAAGTTTTTGAATAATCTAGGGGACGCAGTGGATTCAAACGTTAAACAACAATACCAGTGTGTTTAGAAGTGCTCACTAATGACGTACCAAAAATCTGGTTCAGATCGTATGATGTATCACTGAGATATAACTCTTGAAATAATGTAGGGGGTGCACAGGAGTCAAACGTTAAACAACAATACCATTATGTCTAGAAGTGCTCACTAATGACGTCCCCAAAATCTGTCGTAGATCGGATGATATATCACTGAGATTTTTATTTATTTATTTTTTCTTCTTTCGGCTGCTCCCTGCATTAGGGGTCTCCACAGCAAACTAAGTCGCACGAAGACTTGGCAGTTATTTTTACGCTAGATGCCTTTCCTGACGCAACCACAGACCACCGAGCTACCACAGCCCTCTGTGTGGAGCAGAGAGCTACTTTCTAAGACACCCGGAGGAGCAGATGGTGGGGGTTAAGGACCTTGCTCATGGGCCCAGAGTGGGGCGAATGAGGGTGGAGGCAGGTGTGGGTGCTTCACCTACCCCACCCACATTTTTGATGTTGTCGGTACCGGGGCTTGAACCGGCGATCTTCCGATCACAGGCCCACCTTCTCTAACCTCTGCGCCACCACTCCCAATTGGATGATATATCACTGAGATATAACTGATTAAATAATCTAGGGGGTGCACTTTAGTCATATGTTAAACCACAATATCAATGTGTCTAGACGTGCTCACTGATTCTGCATAAAAAATCTGGTTCCGATCGGATGACGTATCACAGAGATATAACTGTTGGAAAAATGTAGGGAGCACACTTGAGTCACATGTTGAAGAACAATACCAATGTGTTTATAAGTGCTCACTGATCACGCACCATAAATCTGGTACATTGGATGATAATTCGCTGAGATATAATTGTTGCAATAATGTAGGGGGCGCACTGGAGTCAAATGTTAAATAACAACACAAATGTATATAGAAGTGCTTCCTGATCACACACAAAAAATCTGGTGCAGATCAGATAATATATCAGTGAGATATAACAGTTTGAATAATCTAGAGGACGCACTTGAGTCAAATGTTAAACCACTGTACCAATGTGTCTAGAAAAGCTCATAGATGACGCACCAAAAATCTATTGAGAATAGGATGATGTATCCTTGAGCTATAACTGTTGGAATAATCTAGGGGGTGCACTAGAGTCATATATTAAACCACAATATCAATGTGTCTAAAAGTCCTCACTGATGATGCACAATGAATCTGGTCCAGATCAGATGATGTATCACTGAGCTATAATTTTAGGAATAATGTAGGTGGCGCTGTGGAGACTATTGGCCACTTATCATGGATACCTGTTCAAGGGGCGGATAATTATCGATCATAGTGATTTTGGTGCACGTCGGGTGAAATCTGTGCAAGTTAAAGGCAAACATGTTGCAACTGCGTCACTTGTTAATTCGTCACGCCGTCACGCCCACATCCTCAAGCCAAAACGGTTTGCGCTTTAAATCAAGTCAGACCATATTATCTGTCTTCTAAGACAGGATCATCCTGATTAGGTCAATGATGTCAAAGGGCGCATTCCAAGTAAAAAAAAAAAGAGACTTCCTGTTCCGAGGAGGTGGGGCTTTGATGACGTCAAAATATGACCACAGTGGATTGTCGGGCATCCAACAGGGATGAGTCATGCCAAGTTGTGTGCATTTCGGTCTTTCAATGTGAAAGTTATAGTGTTTGGAAATTTATGGCATGAAGCAAAACTTTGAGGGCTTGCCACCCCCTTTAACATAAACAAAAACGCAAGCTTTAGATAACTTTTACTCTCCAATGTCTTAAGGGCATATTAACCAAGTTTGAAGGCAATCCTTCAAAATTCCTAGGAGGAGTTTGTTAAAATTCACAATTACAAATGCCCAAAAATGACCGTTTGACCTGAAATGGCCGACTTCATGTTGGTTTTGGACCAGGGCTCCAAGAGACTTTTTCATAGGTCCTTTGAAGATACAGACATTCACAGAGTTTCAGAATTATCGTTCAAAAAATGGCTTGGGGCTGAGGTTTTAAACTATTCTAGGGGGCGCTGTGGAGGCTATTGGCCATTTATCATGGCTTCCTGTTCAAGGGGTGGATAATGATAGATCATACTGATTTTGGTGCACCTCGGTTCAAAACTGTGAAATTTAGAGCCAAATGTATGGCGACAGAGTTACGTCTTACTTCGCCACGCCGCTCCGCCCACATGTTCCACCCAAAACTGTCAATGTTGGAAAGCAAGTTACTCCAACATGTCTTAGGTCACTGGACACACTATCATGCTGATCAGGTAACAGGGGTCAGATAGGGATCATTCAACGTAAAACTTTATATTTCCTGTTGTCAGGGGGCATGGCTTAAGTGATGTCATGATTTGACCATTCAGTCTTGCAGGGGACTGGATGTGGATCAATCACTGAAGGTTTGATGTCTCAGACAGTTTTCTTGTAGGAGCTATTAGCGTTTCGTTTTACATGGCAAGATGTCAAACTTTGAGGTATGGCCCCGCCCGCCCCTTCAGCATGCTCCGAAATGAACCGTTTGAATAACTTTGCATTCCCCATGCCTTTTTGACCAAAATGGCCAAGCTTGAAACCAATTGAGTGAAATCCCTAGGAGGAGTTTGTTCAAATGCGGAGGCTGTAAACAAATAGGTGTGAAAATTGGCTGGCATTCCAAAATGGCCAACTTCCTGTTTATCGTACAACATTGGTGCCAGAGGGTTTTCTGTGCATCTTGGGGAATTGGACAAGTGTACCAAATTTCATGTTTCTATGACAAACTAAGGTTAATGCGGAGGGTATTTTGAACATTTCTAGGTGGCGCTCTTGAGCCGTTTCTGTTGCGATTTTTGCCACGTCCTTAAAATACGTAATTTTTCACCAGTCCTGATGCGTCTGCCAAATTTGGTGACTTTTGGGATATGCTAAGGCCCCCAAAACTCCAATTCATTTGGCCGAAATAATTGCAGCTCGGGCCTGAACAGAGTGATCACAATAGGCCTTTGCATCTCAGTGCTTCACTGCTTGAGCCTAATGATGACAACAGTGGACACCAACGACAACACTAGACAGTTATAAAAAGGCATACAGATTTTTTTTTACAAATAAGATGGCTTAAAAAAGTAACAAAAAACAGCTAGATTATAAGGCGAAGGCCTGTCTCCATGCCATACCAAAGTCCAGAACATTTCCACTCCCTAAAATACTAAACTGACATCTTCTCTATGTAAAACTCTGCAAAAAATAAAAATTATTCATTGCCACTTTTAATCTAATTTCAAACTCTCCCGCAGCAGTTTTCGTATCTTTGTTATTTTTTATTTTTTTTCAGTAGCCCACGTACTTTTCCTGTGTCCACTGTAGTCTACTGCAAATTTTTATGATGTATTTGCGCACTTTTCTTGGATTTTGCAAGCTTTTTAATCCTCTTTGTGCTATAGTACCATTTTTCACACCTAGTCTTTAAAAATAATTTTTTTCATCATATCTTGTTCAAAATAAAAACTATTTTTCCTTCAGATGCTTGAATGTTGGTCAGCTGACAAACATTCTGATTAATGTCTGCAGGCCATGGAATATATTTCATAGGAGCCTTTGACCAAACGTCTGTAATCTTTTCTCTAACTTCAATTTGACAAATATTAATTCCTTTAACATCATAAGAGTTATGGTAATACAGGAAGCAAAGCAGTCATTCAAAGCTGAAGTAACTTGTCAAACTTGTGTCAGTGGAGATAAGAAAGCCACAATGTCTCAGCTCTCAGCTCTTCCTAAAAACAGAGATAAAGTCATTTAAATATTTGCTGATTAAAGCCTCGTCGTTTGAGTTCCAGTTTTTACTCTCTAAGAGACTTCTTACAGCTGAAGGAAAAGTGAGTGACACATTATTAGATTAATTTGTTGATTTTCATATTCCTTCTGCTTAAAAAACAACAACAACAACCTATACTGACAATATACAGGAACCTTATCATCTTTATGCTTACATGTGAACATTGTATGAGTATATTTTATCTGACAAATTATTTGTTCTGACTCCGAACCAATGAATTTCTAATGTTGCAGTTACCTTGTTGTTATAATCTTTACTTCCTCCCCACATAATGACTCCAGATGCTCCCAAGGCTGCAGATTCTCCAACAGTATTCACAAGATCTGTCTGAAAGAGCAAGAACCACATAGTAAAGATTCTCCCATGACGAATATTAAATAAACTATACATGATTTATCTCTCACAGCTATCTAGCAAATCCCAAATACATTTTTCTCAAAAAGGCTTGTGACTTCAATTATTTCTTGTGTTAATAAACAGATGTTCCCGTCAATGAGGGAGCTGAACAATGAATGTTTGTAGTTTTAGAGATGAGTGTTTTTCTGTACTGGAACTGAACACAGAATGAAGTAAACCTAAATTTTCTTTCTTTTTTGTGTGCAACATACTGAAGCGGGTAGGAGCTACACTGTGTGTGTGTGTGTGTGGGGGGGGGGGGGGCGTGGTGCTTGTGGCCACCATCGATTAATCTTAGTCCACCCCAATCATTTAAGGAAATTATAATTTTGAGCTATATAAAAACTAGAAAGTGTGGTCTCCTCAAATGATAGGGGTGTTCAGTTTACACTCACACACACACACACATGTGTGTGTGTGTATATATATATATACTGTATGTATATATATATATATATATGTATATGTCTGTACATACAAACCGGATTACAAAAAAGTTGGGACACTAAACAAACTGCGAATAAAAACTGAATGCAATGATGTGGAGGTGCCAACATCTAATATTTTATTCAGAATAGAACACAAATCACAGATCAAAAGTTTAAACTGAGAGAATGTATCATTTTAAGGGAAAAATCTGTTGTTTCCAAATTTCATGGCGTCAACAAATCCCAAAAAAGTTGGGACAAGTCCATTTTTACCACTGTGTGGCATCCCCCCTTCTTCTTACAACACTCAACAGACGTCTGGGGACAGAGGAGACCAGTTTCTCAAGTTTAGAAATAGGAATGCTCTCCCATTCATGTCTAATACAGGCCTCTAACTGTTCAATCGTCTTGGGCCTTCTTTGTCGCACCTTCCTCTTTATGATGTGCCAAATGTTCTCTATAGGTGAAAGATCTGGACTGCAGACTTCTTAAGTAAAAGTTTAATTACAGCAACCTTAAAGCGCTGTGGTACATAACCATCCATTAAAAACAAATTAAGTAGATCCAAAATGTGGACATTAATTAGGGGGAACACCTCTTTAAACAGTCTGGTTGGGATGGGATCTAGCAGGCATGTGGATGGGATCTAGCAGGCATGTGGATGGTTTGGATGAGGTTATTATTTTTGACAATTCAGAGCTCAACAGGACAAAAACTGTCCAAACATAAATCAGGCTCTAGTGACATTTTTAAAGTTGCTTCATTTGACAGGGGACTAGAGATAGTAGAAGGAAGGATGGTTTGAATTTTCTCTCTAATTGAAATAATTTTATTTATAAAGAATCTCATGAAGTCATCGCTACTTATAGTTGTAGGGATACATGGTTCAACAGAAATGGGACTTTTAATTAGTCTAGCAATAGTACTAAACAGAAACCTCTCCTCTATTAAAGATGAGTAATATAAAGTTCTAGCTTTACGGAGAGCTTTTTTATATGTTAGCAGACTATCTTTCCAAGTTAAATACAATTCTTCAACATTAGTAGAGCGCCATTTTCTCTCCTGGTTTCTAGATGCTGCTTTAAAGTACGTGTCAGAATTGAACCATGGAGCCAGTTTCCTCTGATTGATTACTTTCTTTTTCAGTGGAACAATTTTATCAAGTGAAGTTTGCATTGAAGTTGTAAGATGATCAACTAGATGATCTAAGTCTCTGTTCTCTGATGCATTACTCTGCAAGACAGAGGAAAACATTGATGGAAGAGACTGTTTAAATTTGGTTACAGGATTTTCTGATAAGCACCTGCTGAGATTAAAGTTACTCTCAGTGACTGTGTAGTCATTTAATGTAAACTCAAAGGTTGTTAAAAAATGGTCGGACAGAATAGGATTTTGAGTAACTATTACCAAGTCCTTAATCTCTACACCATAGGTCAGAACTAAATCAAGAGTGTGATGATAAGAATGAGTAGATGTGCGGACGTTTTGGGTAAAACCAAATGAGTCTATTAAATTATTAAAGGCTATGCTTAAGCTATCACTTTCAACATCCACATGAATATTGAAATCACCTATTATGATGATTTTATCAGTATTTAATAGTAAGTCAGTTAATAATTCTGAGAATTCAGACAAAAACTGAGTAAGCGCCTGGTGGACGATATATAACAACTAGTAAAAGTGGCTTTTCTGATTTCCATTTTGGATGAGAAAGACTGAGGGACAGCGATTCAAAAGAATCATAACTAATAACTGGTTTGGCATTAATCAATAATCCTGACTGAAAAATAGAAGCTACTCCTCCACCTCGGCCAGTTGTTCTAGGAACATGAAAATTTAAATAATTAACAGGAGTAGATTCATTTATACCAAAAAAAATCCTCCTGTTGTAGCCAAGTTTCTGTCAGACAGAATAAATCAATATGATGATCAGTTATCAGTTCATTAACTAACAGGGATTTAGAGGAAAGAGATCTGATGTTCAATAATCCACATTTAATGATTTTATGATTTTGCTCTGGTAAAGTAACTGTATTTATTTTAATAAGATTTTTATGGTTTATATTTTTAGAGTTGATTTTTGGTTTATTTAATTTGAGCTGTGGGCGAGTTGACACTGTTTCAATGTGGGTGTGGGTGGGTAACAGAGGAGAAGCAGCAGAGAGGTGTGGAGGACTACACCTCTGCTTCCTGGACTGGACCCTGGGTCGTCAATAATTTGGGGGATAAACAAAATCAGCCATATTTCTAGAAAGAAGAGCGGCTCAGTCCAAAGTGGGATGGATGCCATCTCTCCACATCAGACCAGGTTTTCCCCAGAAAGAACTCCAGTTATCTATGTAGCCCACATCGTTGTCAGAACACCACCTGGACACCCAGCGGTTAAACCACGACATACGACTAAACATGTCATCGCTGGTCAGGTTGGGGAGGGGGCCGGAGAAAACTACCTAGTCCCACATGGTTTTAGCAAAGTCACACACCGAAGCAACATTAATTTTAGTGACCTCCGATTGGCATAACCGGGTGTCATTACCGCCAACGTGAATAACAATCTTACTGTATTTAGCCTCAGCGTTAGTCAGAAGTTTCAGATAAGATTCTATGTCGCCCGCTCTGAAAACAGAGGAAGCAGGGAGAGAAGCAGCAGCCATGCTAAGCTAACGCTAGCAGGAGCTTACAGAGCCAAATACACCATGTATATACACATATGTATATGTATATGTATGTATATATATATATATATATATATATATATATATATATATATA